ACCTGCATATTCAACAAGGATGGAATGAGTTTTAGTGCATTGGTGTTTGTTAAATACTTTGAGATTCATAGATTGTAAGGGGCTGGAAGGGACCCTGGAAGATTATCAGGTCCAGCCCCCTGCACCAGGCAGGAAAGACAGCTGGGGTGACCCCAGCAAGGTGACCGTCCAGTCTCCTTTTGAAGATTTCCAGGGTAGGTGATTGCACCATCTCTGGAGGGAGCTTATTCCACAGTCTGGACACCCTGACTATGAAGAAGTTTTTCCTAATGTTGAGCCTGAAACAGTCTTCCAGGATTTTCTAGCCACTACTCCTAGTCTTCCCCTTGGATGCCCTGGTGAACAGTTGTTCACCGAGCCTTGATGTACTCCCCTGATGTAGTGGTAAGCTGCTATCAAGTCCCCTCTCAGCCTTCTCTTTTTCAGGCTGAAGAGTCCCAGGTCCTTCAGCCTTTTCTCATATAGCTTGCTGAGCAAGTCTCTGATCAGACAGGTGGCTCTTCTCTGGACTCTCTCAAGCTTTTCCACATCCTTGTTAAAGTGCAGTGCTGAGAACTGGATACAGTGCTCCAGCTGGGGTCTCACCAGTGCTGAGTAAAGCAGAAGAATCAGCTCCTTGGTTTTGCTGGAGATGCACCAATTGATGCATGCCAGAGTATTATTTGGGGCTGGTCAGTTTGGTGCTGCCAAGCCTGTAGGTGTGTTGAGGGTTGCTCGTCCCCAGATGAAGCACTTTATATTTCACAACATTGAACTTCATTTGGTTCCGGTCTTCCCAACTTGCCAGCTTGTCTTGGTCTGCCTGTGTCTGCAACCTATCTTCAAGTGTGACCACACTTCCCCATAACTTGGTGTTGTCTGCGAACTTGGCCAGTGAGCTCTTCACCCCCACATCCAAATCACTAATAAAGATGTTGAAAAGTACTGGACCAAGCACTGACCCCTGTGGGACACTGCTGCCCACTTCGCCAAGATGACACAGATCCATTAGGACTCTCTAGGTCCTTTCCCGCAGCCAGCTTCCTACCCATCTAGCTGTCTCACAGTTAAGCCCACAATCCTCTGATTTTCTCATGAGCACATCGTGGGATACCAGATCAAAGGCTTTTTGGAAGTCAAGGTATACAATGTCAACCTCTTCTCTCTTATCCAGGTGGCAAGTTACCTGATCGTAAAAGCAGATGAGGCTGGGAAGACAAGATCTGCCCATGATGAAGCCATGCTGGCTGTCATTCAGAATCCTACCTTCTGCAAGCCTGTCACAGATAGACTCCTTAATGATTTTTTCCAGGATTTTCCCTGGGATAGAAGTTAGGCTAATTGGCCTATAGTTACCCGGGTCCTCCCTCTTCCCCTTCTTGAAGATGGGCACAACATTGGCCCTCTTCCAGTGCTTAGGGACCACTCTGGAGCGCCACGAGTTTTGGAACTTAAAAGATTCTTAAAAGGAAGATGTTACAGAGACCTTTTATGCCTCATACAGTTTTTAGGATACTGGCTTTATTTGTAAGACTGGATGAGTGACACAGCCTCTATATTTGTTTAAATGGCAAAAACAGTCCTTTTCCTATTGAAAGATGAGTATATTCAACACTGAGAGGTGCTCAAATATTACATTAATATGGCCATGTGGATAACTGGTCTAGATAAAAGAGGCATTTTTGGTGTTTTAAACATTAGCTACACTGTTTCCACTGGAAAAAAATAATCAATTATGCAGGCACAGTGGCTTCTTTTCATATATTTTCAGTATGCTTATTTATAGAAAGGTGCTGGATGATGCTACAAATGCATAAAGATGAGTTCCTCTTGATGTACTCTGCTTCCACACAGCACTTTTCTGTATGCAACATGCCTGACTGAAAGCTTCTTGTAGGCTGTTCAAGAGGGAGAAAATATTCCAGTGGACTAAACATGGCTACCACCTGCGCACACTTAGCCACTGAAAGTGTTCACTCCAGTTTGTTAAATGCCTCTGAACACAAGCAAGAACCTTGACATGCCTATCAGACTTCAGGGTGGGAGGCGGGAGAAGGGAAGGGGGTCTGTTGCTTTTCTCAGAAAGATCAAGAACATGAAATGGATGTGGTAGAATTTATGGGGGCAGCCAACTTCCACATTGACCCATGTTTTACTGCGTAAAAAATGCTTCTGAATTCTACCAGTGGTGCCCATGTTACTGAATATGAAAAGAACAACATCGATAATGCAAGTGACTATAAAGAAGCACATAACTTCCTGGCAATTCTTCATCACAAATCTCCTAAACACCAAATACCAGGCCTCAATCTTAGACATTCTTAAAATGTGATATTTAAAAATGAATGATTTCTGAATCTGGTTCTGGGAAATAGGAATGATGTCTGTAAAATATAAAATCAGGGAAATTTTTTTACACTAATGACAACGGGAAATATTTTTTACATACATTCATATACATACAGATGCATATATATATAGTATAGTATTATATATGTGTATATACCTATACCTATATCTATATATAGGTATAGGTATATGTATACACCCATACTTTTTATATTTTATACACACACACACACACACACACACTTTATATATACATACATACATACATATCTATGTATATGTGTATGTATATGTATGTATGTATATATATGTGTGTTTATACACACACATACATATATATGCACATACATAAACATACACATATACATACATATGTATGTATGTGTGTATATATATATATATATACACACACACACACACACACACATATATAGTGCTATATATATGTATACACACACACAATTTTATATATATATAGCGCAACAGATGTCAACCGCAGTTACATTCAACCCAACTTACTAGTGCATGGCTTTTAGCCAAAAGCAATTCACATTTGCAGAAGTGTACTATCACATATGTCTTAATAACAGAAATGTGTTTTTAAAAATGTATGTGATAAGTCACATATGGTAGAAGGAAGCTGCATAGCTTTCAGCCCTTGTGACAATGGAAGCTACTAACTTTATTTTGTGTGGCTGAAGAACATTAAAATTCAAGTGAAATTCTCTTTGACATTTGAAAGCTACAGAAGCGACAGCATTAAAAGCTAGACAAGTCTCTGCTGTGCTAAGTGTAGCTGCCACGCTTATACTAATACAACCTATATCTATTACAGTTATCTTAAGGACACCATTTTTATTCTTGCCCTCAGAGGTACTGTTTTAGGGCAAAAACACTGCCATATACAGGTACGTTAAGGACTAACGTTTCATTGAAAAATACTAGGCAGATCTTCGAGCTCTTCTATATGCGAAGTGTAATTAATATGTATAATGGACTCCCTAGGGTACTAATTGAAGCTGCAGCCATGAACATATTCAAAGGCAAGTTAAACAAGCAGTTGGGGAAAACATGACAGGGTGAGATATACACATGTAGGTGGAGAGAGCTAGACTGGCCATCTGGCCTTTTTCCATCCCAAAATGTTGCTATATTTTTCAGGTCCTGGAAAGCAGTGATTTCATTTAGAACATGGAAAGAAATAGTTTCAAGGAGTAGTTTGTACATCACAGTAACATACTTCATTAAGGAAGGGTCTGATTCTCTGCTAGGGTAAACTGGAGCAGTACCACTCATTGGCGTTGTCCCACTGATACCACCAGCAGCTCTGGTGTAGTATCTTTTTTATAAATTAATGAATTAGTAATTATATCATGTGGGAGCCTCACAATCCTTGCCCTGATCCCATGGCAGCTGAACTCACTGACTTCCATTACACAATCTATCATATGACCGTTAGATAGCATGGACTTTCAATCCAGTTTGGAATGCATTTCAATTTACGTTGAACTGGACGATGCCGCCTTAGCGATCGAGTCCCCCTTAGTATCTATTCTTTATTTTCATCAGATGAAATTAAACATAAACAGAGGCTGCCTCACACATTGTATACCTCTTCTGATCAGTGTTCACACAAATTTTGCACTTGCTAAATTACTATTCCAGGTGGCACGTAAGAGAGACTCAGGGCCGAAGGTGTCTCATTCTATCCCTAAGCACAGCCATTCATGAGCGCTTCCAGAGCTTGTCTCTAGAAATCCAACAGCCGCTTGGAATAAGGTCATTCTGTTTTCCAAAAGCCCTCATAATCAGCAAAGTACTATGAAAATAAGAGAATTTTCATTGGCTACAACCGGATCATACAACTCCTAGGGACTTAGTCAAAGTACAGGGATCATCTGCTTTTGTCACTGGAGAGCACTGAAGCTGGAGTGTATGTTGTTTAAGTTGAGAAAAGCAACTACTGATTGTTATTACCCTTAATTGAAAACCTCTTTTTTTTCCCCCGAGAACTAGGGTATCTTTATAGCAACTTTCTTAATTCAACGAGAGTGCAGAACGTTCTGACTAGTGCCTTAAGATTTAAGAAAATCTCATAAAATGCTCTGGAAATTGGTCTCTGGTAACTTGCTCACCCATCATATATTGCAACTGCAAGAAGCAGAAACATTTTGGTATGCATATGTGTGCGTGTACGAGAGAGAGGGACAGAAAAAGAGAACGCTCTTATTCAACAGGATGGCAAAGCCCTGATACATAGGTGCAAAATATTCCCATGTGTCTAGAAATGATTTGGCACACTCTCAGTTATTTCCCCCTCTGTCAGACCTTCCCAAGGATTGCAATTAAGAAATGTAATCTTTTTAACATGTGCAATCCCCCCAAGGCTAGAAGGACTACATATTGAATATGATTATGATATTATTTGGCAGCTATTCATAGAGGGCACATATTAATTTATGTAAACGGGATGAAACTCGGGGCATACAATCATTAGGAACACATGACAAATCAAAACCTGTCCTTGCTGAACAGGGGACGTTCTCATGGCTATGATTATGGAGGGACTTGAGATCCCGTGTTTATTTTATTGCCGACAGCAGGCCTTTTTTGTGGTTCTTAGCATGAAGTTCATTAAAGCTGAATTTCTAACGGATATAAAAGTAACTTACTTTACAGGAATGTTCCTTGGTTTTGTCTTTTCGGCAGCCTATAAATAGAAGAGGAAAAAGAAAATTAAGCAACACTACTAAGCACAATTTTTCCTGGAGCCAAAGTAAAAAAAAACCAAAAAACTACAGGAAGGGAATGAGCAAACCAAAGCAGGCAGTCATAGTTAAATAGGCACCAGAGTAAATATGGCAATGGCTAAATTCTTTCACGGCATGAATGTTATAAGTCTTAAAATACTCTATCACTGAGATCTCTACGGGCTTTACTTTTAATGGCCGCAAGTGTTTAGGAGATGTTCATTCAGAACGAGTTCTCTATTTTCCATCTTGAGGTCCGGTCATATTGTCATAACCTTGCTGCCTACACCTAGAACAAGAACAACAGGAAAAAAATAAAGGCACGAACGGATTCTATTTCCAAAACAATTTTTATTAGCCAACAACAGAAAAGGGCAAGGGATGACCAAATGTTCAGATCAATTTCCTCTTGTGAAACCTTTGAGAAAACACACTCCAAATCATCTAAATGAGTAAATCTCGGGGCCTCTCGGCCTGTACCGCCTCAGACATGGAGCCTGGTTCCAGTTTATTGCTGAACCCATTGATCTGTGTACAGTCCATTTATCATTCATGAAAAGAGCCAGTGATCTTCACAGTATATTAGAAGAAACAACTCAGATCATCTGTCAACGGCCCTCTTATTTCTGTTTCCCTCTCCACGGGGATTTCATCTCCTTCGATTCTTCTTGAATTAAAATGTTGCTAAGCAACACAGCTGGGGGCACTGATGGCAGAATGGCTACAGTCTATCAAACTGTTTAAGCTGTTTGAGATTTTAATGGTGATTTTATATATATATATATATATATAAATATATATATATACACACACACACACACACACACACACACACTTCTCTGGCATAATTATGTAATCTGAACCAAGCCTGCATTCCCTCCAACTTTCACAGACTACGTAAATAATATTTTAATACAAAGGGGCTGGAAATGTGACTTCAAGACCAAGCTGGCGTTGTCGGATCCTTTCTTAGTGCGTGCAAAACTAGGCCATTACAGATTTAAATGTGGGAACCTATTCAAATGACTAGGGAGATTACATTTTCTGGAGTAGAGAGAGGCAGATTCAAGGTGACACAACCATAAGCCCATTCCACCAAACAAAGCACTGGTGCTTAATTGCATATTAATGGATTTCAGGAAACCAAATAAAATGAGAAGGGCTGGTGACTGTGTACAGGGGTTAGCGGGTTCGGTGAGAAAAGGTAACCTTCGGTTCACTAAGGAACAGAAAAAAAATGGATTTTTGAGTAAAAACTACCAACGCTGGTGGTGTGCCAAATGTTAGATAAGCCCTCAAAGGATTAGATCCTTCTAACTAAACTGCCTAACCTCTGAAATGAACTTACGGACCCTGTAAAAATGGGCTAAAAAGCTTGTGAGTGCTGTCTTCCTTACGAGATGTTTCTGCAGGGCCAGAAATGTTGCATACTTTCTTCCCAGGATTTTGGCACGTGCATTTTCATTCATATCAGTTGGAAACTGCGGGTTTAATCCCACGACATGAAAAACAATGGGTTTTCGTTGGAGAGATGGCATTAAGGTTGGTGACACGGGAGAAGCAGTAGTTCTGTCATAGTTTTGTGAAGAGGGATGCTGATGCTGTTTCTTTTACAGCTGAATTACATTTGATGTGATTGGTTGAGGGCATGCAAGTATTATTTTTCTGTTTAGATACTGAAATGAAAACGATGAAGGCACAGGTAACTGAAATACAAGAGAACAAGGGCGAAATGATGGCTGGGTCACTAATTGAAGGACTCAAAATTCAGGATTTGCTACATTTCTGGTTGCATACCCAAACTCCGTCTTCTTAAGAAATCTCTGTGCATCTCCCTTGCCTCATCACTTAGACGGTGTGAGCCTTTCTATATTCCAGAGACACCTTTCAACATCCATATTCACACTCTACTGATTTGATGTGCACAGGTTGAGAGGCAAAAAGCACGCTATGAAATAACTGGTGTTGCTCGTTTTTAATAATGAAATAAATCAATAAAAGCAACAGCATAAACTTATTAACAATAATCATAAAAAGGGGGGGTGGGCAGTTTAATATTTAAAAGCTTAAAACTGAGCGTTATAACCGAGGGGATCGTCAGTGGAGCACTGACCTCGGTGCGGCATCCCGAATTAACGAGAAGTCTATCCTCTCCTCCTGAGGAACTAAAACTATTTAAGAAAGGTCTGTAAGCATCCTTTATTGTGACGAAACAATACTTTTGTTTGCCCGCAGCATAATACATCTCGTGACTGCTCGAGGTAACTCAGAGCTTGTCTAACATTTCTGCGTTCAGCTGTGTATAACTTTAACCCAAATCTCACACGCAGGCTACTCATCAAATTATTTAAAACCATTACACACACACAATTGATTCCAAGTATGTAATTTAGAAGACAGGTATGAGATAAGAGAGAGCGAATTAGTGGAACATGTTTGAGTCAGAAGTAAATAATAATGAGATCTCTTTTAATGCAAAAAAATTAAAGCAGAAAATTATCTATAGAGAAAGTGCAAAATGGGGAACTAAACTCAATTGATTATAAGGAAGATTAGAGAAGCTGAAGATATTTCACAAAGAGGAGAGAAACATCAAAAGAATAATAAAATAAAATAATAAAAGATTTTGCTGGTAATAGCAGAAGCAAAGAATATTAAAGAGCAGAGTCAAAGTTGTCCACTGGATAACTAGGGGTGGCCTTTCCTCGTACGGATACTTGGCAAAGGGGAGAGGGCTACATTTGCTCTGTTTGACTGGGAAGATTGTGGTGCTGTCTAATGCTACTGTTTTCTTAGGGCACGTTACTAACTACAAATGTTAAGAAGCAAAGCAGTAATGGGGTGTGTGTTGGGGGGAGTACATGTACACAGTCATGCACGTGTGTGCAGTATCTCTCACACTTCTTGGAAAGCAGAGTTTGGGTCTGGATCCAGGAGCAGCTGGGCTCTTCTTATGTTAACTTCATTTATTCTGCCACCTCCCGGGAGCGGAGAGGACTAAGCACCGTGCACACTTAGACATCAGGACTTCTGAGTAAGCACTACGGGATCTAGCCCAGTGCCTCTGTTCTCCCTTGTACGTGTTGTCATTTCTAAAGCACGTGTGTTGCAATATCATGTGTCTGGCTCCATAGCAGAAGATACGGAAGAGAGAAATCAAAGTGACATTGAGTAACTATACATATTAAGCTTTGATGCAGAAACATATTGTTTGAAAATATTGTGTGTGCAGTAGGTCTGTCAATTAGAGCTAATTATTTTTCTCTGATCAGGAAGAATGCAATCTTGTTTTAGGCAGGTTTCTTTGAAATGTACGTCTTTTATATAACTTCATTATGGGGAAATACTTCCTTCAGATTACTTTTCTCTGGGTTGCTTAGCTATTGACTCAAATTGTCTATGTTGAGTAGTTCTCTCTGCTTTGATAATTAACTTTTGATCATTACTGAATTTAACAGCTCTAGTCAGATGTGTTCATAGTCATCCTCCTCAATTACTTCAGTGCTCATCACCTTTAATCTTTGAACAAAATGATCTCATTGAGCCTCCATCAGCTTTGCTACAGAGTTAATAATTCCTGTTTCACATCTTCAAGACTAAGTTTGATTTGTTTTAGAGGTGATGTGAGCTTTTGATTATTAATTTAAAAGATTTCAAAGGCAAACAGGTTTTTTTTTTTAAGAGTTATTTTGTGAACTTCTATTTCTGGGCCTTTACATAGAAGAAACAGGTTTTGAAAGCCATGATTCCTGAATCCCATGTATTAAAATAACTATCTATAAATAGAAAGGGTAGGAGGTTCCCAAATCATGATACATGGGTTCTGAGTGGAAGATCAAACTGCAAAAGACTGGAATGAAAATGAACCAGTGTAATGTAATTCAATAGGCATTATGAGAATTACATCATGGTATTGCTGCTAATTTTGAGTTTGAAAATGTACATTAAAATAATTTAAGATAATTAGAAAATGGAGACTGGACTGAACTAGAGAGTTATGCCCCCTTAATTTGCAATTTGCTTTTAATTTTTTATGATTATGGTCCTAGATATATACCATCTCTCAAAAATTCCCTCTTCACAGCTGCTCCGAAAGGTCGATGGGAAGAAAAGAGAAGATGAACTGGAAGAGCTGATGAAAGGCAATAGCAGCTGGCAGCACCTTCATCACTGGAAATTCTTTTGAAAGGAGAAGGGAGAGGGTTTTCCACAGCATTTAGGGCAGCTAAACCTAGTTACCTAGCCTCGGGATCAGAGTATCATAGACCGGTAATAAAGAACTGAAAGAAAGAGTTCACACACAGCATCCTTGCTGGTTTAAGTTTAATCAGACACCCCCAGCATCCCAGCATGCTCTCTGGGCTGGGTGGGGCTCTCTGCTTCACAGCAGGGTTGGCTCCTCCTCTTTGCTCCCTTGCTGGAGCTTGGCACAGACTGCAGGCGTCCCTGCTCCCCCCTCTACCCATCCCCTCTGGCTTGCAGACACCTCTCAGCTTTAGCCAGCAGACCACATGCTGGCTCCGGTCCATGGTGTCAGGCAGGATAAAGGCAGAATCAACAGGTAGCTGGTAATGTCCCTCTGTTGTTTTCTTAATGGGGTGATAACACTGTTATCAATTCACTGCTGAGGTAGTGGGGGTGGTGGGGGGAGGAACCCCTCCTTAATCAAAACCTCCTGCCAGGGCCTGGCCACACCCCCCTCAGCTCAGCACTGTAGAAGGGAAGGGAAGGCTGCTCTAGCAGCCCCTGGCTTCTAGCCTGAACCACTGCAGGCATGTGCCCACATCTCTGGGATGTCTGTGCAGTTATGAAGTGACTCAGCCTAGCCAGGTTAGACTAACCTGTAAAGATTGAATCAATTCAGGCTCAGGCTTTTTGAATGTCTGTCCCTAGCCACGGGGATCAGTGTCACTACTGGAAATGTAATTGTTATACAAAAGAAGGGACTGGGAAATAGCCAGCACTCTGTTCAACTTTGTGCCATGAATTCCCTCCCTGGAGTGTCTTATGGGCAAAACTGTGCATGTTTTATGGATATTAGTCAGATGGCAGAGTAAATAATGCACCTTTATATCTGGCTTCTGGCCACCTTCTGGCTGACTTCAGACTAATACAGCTTACTACCTCTCTCTGCTTATGGGTATCAGTCAACAGACCTGTCTTTCTGTTGTGTTGCAGTGTTGTCACAGCCATGATGGTCTAGAGAATATAAGCAAGATGTTTTAGGTATTATCTTTTATTTGATCAATGTTATAGTGGGAAATGTTTCGAGACATATAGTGCATTATTTTTGGTGTCCACTAAAGTTGTAAACTTTTGTTCCCAGGCTCATCTTCTGATGACACGAAGAAGGGCATTTTGTGTTTGAAAGCTTGTCTAGCATCTCTCCCAACTGCAAAGCCTATCCTTCTGATGGACAGACAAGGTGTTTAAACGCAGAAATCCTCCAACCTTTAAAAGTTCTGCTTTAAACAGTGAGCACCTAAGCTATCTCATGCAAGTCTGTTCATGCAGGTCTGTAACCATACTCTCCTCTTGTCCTGCCAAGTATCATTTGTGATCAAGTTTACATGATAATATGAATCTTTTAATTGACTTTAAAGAAGGTTAAGTAGAAGGCAGAGTAGACGTGCACTTTATAGACTAAACAAAGGGTGTGGCTATGTGTGTGTATATAAACAGATACAGATATAGGCTTTGGTTAATCTATAAGGTACATGTCTACCCTGATTTCTACTTGATTTCAGATTAACACAGCTAACTATGTCCCTCTCTTCTTTAATGAAGATTCAGTCAGTGTCTCTGCAAATTAATATGCTTCCTGGATGTTCGCCTAACTCCCTGATTTATATATAAGATGGTAAAAGATGGTACCATACCCTGCTCTGGTCCTGTGGTTATCCAGTTGGCATAGGGTTGAAAAGAATATAATGCGCATGAAGGAAGCAAAAGAAAGCTCAGGACAATTGTATTGGGAATCGCAGCACCAAGCCTTGAGGGCTGATGGATCTCTGTTGATTTTTTTAATGCTTTGGTTACAGTCTCCTCTACCTGTCCCCTAATGTCAATGGAGGAGATTCTATTTCTTTCTTCCTAATTGTCTCTGACATGAAGTTGGCAACCTTGTATTTGAGATTCTGTGTGTGGTGTTCTAGGTTAGCCTCACCCTGAGGATGAAAGGCCCAGTGTCATTGAGCCTATGACCAATTTAAAAAAAAGGGAGCCAGAAGACATTCCCTCATCCCAGAATATTTTCATAAGTAGTCTACATTTGCTTTCCAATGACACTTAGAAGAATGGACTGGTTGAGGCCAGTTTTGTAGAGGATCAAGTCATCACATGTGTGGTATCTGAAAATCAGAATAGTACATAGACTTTCCATCACACTCTACCCTAGATGGACCATGGGTAATGTGTACCGTCACAGCTTTGAGCACTACAATAACTCTATTAGTTTAACAAGGGGCGGTTTGAGAATATGGTGGAAATCCATGAAGTTGGAAACTCCGGTGTTAGCAGGTGTCAGGTAAAATTTGCAGCTTCTTAACATGTGAAAAGAGCCCATATATCTGCAGACTGTGGGCCACCTCCATCCCTTATGGACTTCACTGTCTTAACCGAGTTATACCAAAAATGAATTTGGGCCCTGTTGGCAAGGGTCAGCATTTCCCCCCAAACTCCTACATTTACTTAGGAGAATGATGGAAAGGCACAATGCAAAACATAACCCTGTCTCATTCTTCATCACAGGCCCCAAATAAAAAGAATAGACTTGAGGCCACGTCTACACTGTAATTCAAAGTTATGATTGCTGCTTCTGTAGATATATCCAAGCTAGCTTAGGGACTAACAGCAATGTAACACAGTAGCATGCCAAGTACTTATCTATGTCCCATCAGGATTGTTCAACACATGCTAAATCCAAGCAGCCCAGGGGTACTGTCTTCTCCAGTCTATGATGGTATTTTTCAAAGCTGTATGGAATGTCATTTGCTGAGGAAAGCTCGTTATAGTGAGAAATCTGGCTCCTAACTATAGAGATGGTGCAGTGTGACAGAAGAAATGTAGATAATAATAATTAGTCCTTTTCTAGCACCTTCTTTTGAGAGGTTCTCAAGGTTCCTTAGAAATATTCACTGATTCTCAAAATATTTCTGTAGACAGTGTTTATGCCCATTGTGCAGATGAGGCACAGATGGTTAAAGATTTCTGAGGTTACTCAGGAATTCTTTTGCAGAACTAAAAATAAAACTCCAGGCAAAAGGGTTTTTTACAGGGAGACTTTTCTCAGCAAAAGGTATCACTGTGCAGCTGTTTTGGTTTCACCATATAGTTGATATTGGAAAGAAGAAAAGTCAATCCATCAATCAACCAATCAATCTTGGAGGGACTGCATTTTTTGACAGTTTCAAAACCTATTTTCAATTTTTAAATTTGAAATAACTTTGTTTCAAATTTCCTCTAAGTGCATTAAAGAACATGTTTTAAAACAGTTGAAATCAAAAGAAAAGTTGATGCAAAACAAAATGTCTGTCAGCTTTGGGATTTGCTAAATATTTGCAAACATTTCCTTTTCAATATGACCCTGAGAGATTTTTTTTTTAACTTTCAAAATTGCCCATCATGCACACACCTTTGTCTGCAGTCATCTTGACTTCCAGCTCCCTGTGTTAACTACAAAACCAGACACGGAAAAAGTAATGACATGGCAAAGGAAACATACAGACAGAAAGGCAAGGAATAATTAGAAAGGATCAAACAAAAATATCTCTAAGAGCTTCCCCAAGAAGGAAAGGATAAACCGAGTTTTCACCACTGTCTCATTGTATGGAAATAAGACAACTCACAGAATGTGTGAATACCTCAGTTTCTCTGCTCTAATACATAGAGAACAATACTTTGTATCTGTCTTAGAGTTTTGTTACCCAGTGATTTTGATTGGCGCCTGAAGACCTTAACACCTAGATTATCTGCCCATTAACACCTGAAACTAGTTTCGAGCACTCACGAGGCGGCTCAAAGTTACACCACTCCAGGGAAGGATTCCTTCTGCTCATTAGACAATCCTGGTAGGGAATTCATGGCACAAAGGGGAAGAGAGTGCTGGCTATTTCCCAGTCCCTTCTTTTCTGTAACAACTGCATTTCCAGTAGTGACACTGATCCCCTTGGCTAGGGACAGACATTCAAAAAGCCTGAGTCTGAATTGATTCAATCTTTGCAGGTTAGTCTAACCTGGCTAGGCTGAGTCACTTCATAACTGCACAGACACCCCAGAGATGCAGGCACATGCCTGCAGTGGTTCAGGCTAGAAGCCAGGGGCTGCTAGAGCAGCCCTCCCTTCCCTTTCATAGTACTGAGCTGAGGAGTATGTGGCCAGGCCCTGGCAGGATGTTTTGATTAAGGAGGGGTTCCCCCTGGCACCTCGACCAGCTCAGCAGGGAATTGATAACAGTGTTTATCACCCCTAACTCAGTGTTTATCACCCCATTAAGAAAACAACAGAGGGATATTACCAGCTAGATTCGGTCCCTGATTCAATTCAGTAGAGATATGGCGCGATTTGATGGCCAAATCTCTGAATCCAAATTGAATCAGGAGACCCTTTCATCTCTCCGAACCAAATTGGAACCCTCCGAATAGATTCGGAGAGATTTGGAAAAAATTCAGAGATTTGGACATAGACACAGCTTTAAATGTTTTTTCTACATACCTCAAGGTACCAGGGGGCTCGTCGATGCTGAGATGCTGGGGTGCATGGAGTGTCCCACAGGAGCATAAGGGGCTTCCCAGTGTGCTCGGCAGCAGACCTAGAAGAGGACCAGAAGCATTTCCAGTCCACTTCTGGGTCCTCTGGGAACCGCATGGCCCCCCTCCCCGCCCCCCCCGGCTCAGTGACTGATGCCTCCTGGTTT